TTTAACTCCAAAAAGGAGTTTAAAGAACTCTTTTTCAGGAGTAAAAGTGACCCCAGATATTGAGGAGTTAAAATAACCCCAAAAAAGGAGTTATCCTGTACCTAAAATTTTTACTCCACTTTCAGAGTTAAATTAACTCCAAAAAGAGTAAAAACAACCCATGTAAGGAGTACAAGTAACCCCATTTCGGAGTAATTTTAACTCCAGACTGGGAGTAAAAAGAACTCTTTTTCAGGAGTAAAAATGACCCCAAATTCGGAGTTAAATTAGGAGTTAAAATAACCCCAAAAAAGGGGTTATCCTGTACCTAAAATTTTTACTCCATTTTTGGAGTTATAATAACTCCCTAAAAATTACGGTGCAGTAAAATCTTATAGTAGAGATGTGTGTCGAAAAGCTTCATACATGTTAAGCCTAACCTTATTTAATTTTATAAGAAATTTGAACAAAGTGTTGTTATTTTAAGAACGGGTTGAAGTGCAATGATTTATTCTATGGAATCACGGTAACAGAAATCAACACAACTGTAGCAATAAGCCTTTACCGCGAAATTAATCCATACTGCTGTAACCACAATTTCTAACAGTCAGAATGTTCTCATAATTCTGAAAATGTGAAATCCCAGTTTGGTTACTATTGTAGCCAGACAAGCAGTTAAATTGCGACCCATCCAGCGCCGCATTCCCATTAGCTTATTACAAAAAGCTAGGGAGTACAACTTCGTCTCCAGGACTTTTTCCCTGACGTTGTAGGGAGTAGGCCCTGAAATTAGCTGGGAAAACATGTGTATTTTATGCCCTAAGTTGGGGTTTCTTTGAAACAAATCCTCACATCAGGCTGACATTGGATAGTTTTTAGAACTATCAAGTATAGCAACGAATAGACATCAAGTATAGCAACGATCATACGACGATCATACCATGATCATACCATGATCACAATAGTGAGTCAATATTGTCGTTGTCGTGACTAAATGTTGATTTTACGATCTTAATAAAAACTATTAGCCCTTTTTTTTGCTACTCATGATAGATGTAATCGAAGAAAGAATCATGCATCGATTTTCTGAACCGTGGGAAGACAGCGACCTAATTCTTGTGGTGGAGGATGAAAAGTTTCATGTTCATCGCCTGATACTGAGCATGAACTCACCAGTTTTCAAGGCGATGTTTAAAGAGCAGTACAAAGAGGCCACCGCCAGCGAGATTCCACTGCCTGAGAAGAAAGCAAATGAAGTATTAGACCTCTTGAAGCATGTTTACTCCAAGAATTTTTTTAAAGCGCCCGTGGAAATCACTAGTAAGGCGTCGCATTTTCTTTGTGTTATACTAAAGAACAATAAGTGACGTAGTATGTAGAGTGTTCAGGGCGTGATTGTTTAGCTCCACTATTTTTAGGGTCTTTACCATGAAATGACAACATTTCAATGCACATCATCGTCACACAGATATATACTTTATCCAGTGCTATAAATTAAGAAGCTCATTTCACATCTTCAGCTTTTGTGAACAGAACCTCTATCCGGTATATGTGTGTGAAAATAGCCTAAATCCCCAAGGAGTCAATGAACTGTTCATTTAACAATTTCTTTCCTTATCTTTCATTTTACCCGTAAAATGTTCCCACCTATAGTATCGCTCAGGAGTTCGATTAATGAACCCTACACACAACCTACAATCCCGTGCAAGCCTTGGTTGTCCCTGACGAAGGGTTAGAGCTCAACAAGTGAGCTATTCAATCTTTCCACGGGGGTTAATTCTCAAAATTCATTTTGATCAACTCAGTTAACAACATCATATTTTCGCCTTGAAGAAGCCTAAGAAAACAACCGACATTTCACGACGCCACCACTGGTTTCCCCACGAAACCCGCCAGCCCCATTCAAGTGTTTCTATAAAACTGTTATAAATAATAAAATGTGAGGTTATTAAATTAAATTATTTTAATATTGAATCAATTATAGTTTCAATCTCGCACACCTGATTTCAAAGCAATCTATGATCCAAGAACTGGGTTTTGATCCGATTAGTGCCCGCCCATTTCCTCGTCGTGATCGGTATCTTGTGATAAAGTTAGAACAATGTTATAAAGGAGCCGTTGTAAATGACCATGAAACAACATGCATGGCGGGCAACAAAAATCTCTTCAACTAAAGAGCGCGCTATTAAAACTTCTGAATACAACGGAACTCAAGAGGTAATTAAAAGCTCACTTTTTTTAAGAAACGCTTGCGCAGATCTCCCTGTAATAGTTGTAGTACAATACAAAAGGTCTAACATAACGTTTATGCTCATTTGTAGTCGGAAACGTGGAACATCTTCTCAAGCTAAGCGATGAATACCAAGTGACACACGTCTTCGACGCTTGCATCAGGTTTGTTAAAAGTGAACCAATAAAAAAGGAAAATGTGATGAAACTACGTAGAATCTCAGACTTGCATAATCTGGAAACGGTAGCGAAAGACTGCAACGATTTTATTACGAACATGAAAATAAAGAACCTGTATGAAGCTGTTAACCCTGAAGACCTTGACCAAGGAACCCTGCGACAATTCCTGGAGCAAAGGATTAACCGGCTGGAAACTTTTTTTGATGAGGTGTATCCTGAATTTATGGGAATGGTTGAGTGCTTGTTTTGGCTAATGCATAAGTCCGGGCTGGATGTGAGATGGTGCTCAAAACATGTTACTGACGGAAAATTAGTAAATCAGCTTAAAATCGATAGTGAAGAGATAAGGGAGTGTGCACACTGCCAAAATATGCTATATTCAGTGTGGAGAGCAACTAGCTCAGGCAGGGGGAGGGGGCAAATGTATTGGAACTACCATTATGGACATTCCTGGCGGGGGTATCATTTCGAAAATTTGGAAACAACTATCAATGACTTCTGCAAATTGAAAAATGGTTAAACACTATATCCACCTCCTCCCTTCGACCTATTACTGACCCTGCAGATCATGCCTCTTCATGACTGTTTTATTTTGGAGTTGTCTGTTTTCGCGTAAAGTTCACCATGATAGCCATTCTGTTTAATATGTTTTTAAGATCATTTTATTGTTGGTAACCCTCAAAACTGAAAAATTTGTGAATTATTTGCGTTAAGACTGATTAATCATTTGGTTTTCATATATAATGGTAATACTGAAATGAGCCGAATCCAATTCGGTCTGGCATACCAGTAATTAATTTGTTTGATCACGAGTATGATTAATGACCACATTAGACGTCACGAGGATGTGATAACGACAAAAGGTCTATCGAGAACTTGTTCGATGGTACGTATACTGTCCAATTGTACTGTCCTATTAATGTTGACATCAGAGTTCCTGATAGCCAACTTGATTGAAGAATCTTCTTATAGTTGTAATTAAATCTAATAAAATACGAAGTGTGAGTTATTAACTTATGCTGGGACTGTTTTTCGTGAAATACCAGTCGCTGAATGTATGGCTGCAGAATGTGCAACGAGTTTCTTTCTTTTTGATTGGCTGTATTCTTTGTGGGATGAGATAAATTTAGACATCCTTTTGTAATTTACTACAAAATGTAGAGCACTGTAGTGCAGTACGTCTCAGAAATGAGGCTAAAATATTAAGGCATTGATTTGTGGCTATTTTGCGTTTAAGTAATCCTGCTTCCTTATTGTCTCTTATTTTCGCTTCCTGAGATAATTTCTACAGTTTTGAAGATTTGAGGTCGTACTTCCCACCAAGGAGCTAAACTTCACGAAAGTCTTATGCGATATCTTGAGAATGGTATTGAACAAAAAACCTACCATTTTTTATTTCTAAGGCCCACCGAATTAAGTATCATAATGTCTATCATACGACTTGCGGGGCAAAAAATATCAATCTCAGTGGGTCAGGAACTGATCCCCAGGTATAAAATTTTGCGTCGATATACATTGTATTTGTGTTTGAGTTCCCGTTCATTGCGAAAATTAGTGACAACAATGGAGACAAAGAGGTAATTCAATCAACGCCTAATAAATAGAAAACTTATTTAGAGTCTATATAGGACTTGGCTTCCTAACACCGCACTCAAAGTCACAGTTAGTGTTGCTCTGCTAGAAACGCCGTACGTTTGTTTTAAGCATGTAGTTTGATAGCAAGTCAGAGAGAATGAGTGATAGTAAACATTTACCCCATCCTCCATACAAGGTAAAAAAAAAAAGCTCGGAGTTATAGCTACGACTCCGAGTTCCGAACTGTTAACACCTTAAAAAAATGTCACTCAAATAGAGAATTAAAATAGTGCGAATTGACGTCTAACGTACGAGCCCAAGAATTCCATAATAATGGCGTATCACTATCCAGACGTGATCGGAAATGAATTTCTGTTCATTGAGTAGTCAATCGATAAAAATCGGTATCGATTTATCAGTCGATAAATGGATCAAAATCGGTAGGTCTGATTTGATTGATATTGATGGGACGCATCGATCAATCGGCAGAAATCGATGACACACCCGTTTCGTTCATCAATTTATCTTGATTTTTACGAATTTCATCGATTTATGTCGGAAGATACTCGTCTATACAACTGTAAAGTTCCGAAAGTAACGACCCCTCGAAAGTAGCGAACCTCCGAAAGTAGGTGTAGATAGGTCTTAGCAAATCCCGAAATTAGCGATCCCCCCGAAAATAACGACCCTCCGAAAGTAGATACTTCAAAACTATTTTTTTTGGCAAAAAATAACGGATATGATAGATATCCTGAACAAAAGCCACACTGTTCCGTGATTTATTAATAATGACTATTTGTCATTCCTATTCAGAACTCTCAAAGTACAGGATATTGATTACCTTTTTTTCAAAAAGAATTCCTTTCATAGTTTTTGCAATCTTATTACTTCGGCGGAGCGCGAAGTTAAGAATTCGTGCAGCTCAGGAATGTTCCAAATTTGCATTCGGATATCCGGAAGTTGCTTCCGAATGTCCCGAAGTTGCTTCGGAATTAGTTGGAGATATCTTCGAGTTCTTTGATTTATTCTTTCAGGGGAAAGAAACAATTAGGAGAAAGTATTACTTCTGGAAGATATAAAGAATAAATTATTATTATTTCGGGCTTGTCCGGGGTTTGAACCGGCTTACGTGTGACCCGTCATCTCAGATGAGACTTTAAATTTAGGTATTAGCCGATTGCGCCACTGCGACGCAAGGTAATTGGAGATATGAAAATAGCCACAAGTTATGCACCAGGAACGGGTTAGATTCGCAAACAAGTTTGTTACTTTTCGGCTTGTTTTGGGTTTTGACGTAGTAACACCGGAATGAGTTGGAGATATCGCAAGATCACTTCTAGTTGTTCCGGCTACAATAAATATTTCAGGCGGAGCCCAAAGTATTAAAGGATTTGCTGCTCTGAAGAATGTCGTAAACTTGCAGTTTGCTTCCGAAGTGAGACCGGATATCTCGAAATCAGTTTTAAATAAGTCAAGATTACACAAGTAACATGCCTTCATGGAATAAATTTTGGGGACAGAAATGTGTATAAAGTTTGAGAGTGAAGAGATTTCGATTAGTGGAGATTAGTGCAGCAAGAGTGAATCGAAAGAGGAAGATCGAGGAAAAGGTACAGTTGTTTGCGTTGCGTGAAGACGAAGCGATTCGGAATGCCGCGATAGGCTGTCAATAAAGGGAAGCAAAACGCAGTTACCGTGATTTCATAACCGTTGTGATAAGCATCATTATCATTGTTCTTTTTCTAGTTTTGTTTGGAAGAGTAGGTGTTTTTATAATTGTTTTTGTATTGTGTGTTATTGCTTTTCATAAAGTCTATGTTGCAATGTTGTGGAGATTGTGCATTTTCAGCAAGTTTTGTCAGCGGGCGTGTACTGATGTTAGACACGTTGCTGGAGAACGTGTGGAGTTAACTGTACATAAGGAAAGTGTTGTTGTAGAGGAAACAAAGGAAGTGGAACTGAGATCTCTTCATGCGCAAATTATTTATGGCAGAAATTATAATCGAAACGTGGAATTTGATGAAAAGTAATAGCATACAGGTTCTTCATAACAGAATTTGAAACAGGATATTAGCGGAGATGACCCCCCGTACTAGCAGACTTCCGGTGAAGAAGATAAGACGTATGTTACTCAAAGGAGAAAAGTAAGGGTATTTGTACGGAAGAGTATCCGGAAAAATATAATTTTTACTATTCCTCCGCATTCACAATTGATTCCACGACCACGACGCCGAAGTGCACGCTCACATAGCGTCTTGTTTTTTAAAGTGTCCGTGTGGAGTACACGTTTTAGTCAGTCCAAGAAACGATCCCCCGAATGTAGCGAGCCAGCTCCGACAGAAGCGATAGCGGAAGGGTGCTAAATCGGAAAGTAACGAGGGGTCGTTATTTTCGGAACTCTACGGTATTTACCTTATGCCAATTGCGAACTTTCGTTATATGACGTAAAAACCATGAAAAATCAATAATATCGATTTGACACAGAAATTTAGTTTATCGATTTTCACCGATTTCCGTTATCAGTCGATAAAAATCACTTGATTGCTACCGATTTTTATCGCTACTCCAGGGGATGTGATAGTAATTAAAAATAAAATGGACTCATTCACGTGTATTACAAACAACAAAGTTGGAACATTTTATTAGCAGAAATGATTCCAGTCTAGTGTACGCTAGCTACAGACTCTTAAATTAGCAGATCTTGGAGGCGTACCCTGGACAACCTTTCGTGAATTTTGTTGATAATTAATTGTGTAGTTGCTGTAACTTGTTGTATGTTCCAAATAAACGTTTTTGTAGGTGATGTTGTTGTCTTTATTCTATTATAATAATAATAATAATAATAATAATAATAATAATTATTATTATTATTATTATTATTATATTATCATTATTTGCTCTGATGAGACTCGTTGAGATGTCAGGTTTTTGGCAAAGGGGGCAACGTGCATTTTTCGATGTCAGGGTTTTAAATCCCTTCGCAAAGAGCTACTGAAATCAAAAACTTGACACGGCTTTCTCGAGCAATCAGCGGAAAAGGCACAGAAGCCAAACGATTTCTCATTTAACAAGCCCAGAACAATCAAACATGAGTTGAAGACTGATTTTAGCCGGGCAGAAATCGCAGTTGTTATTGGAAAGATAAAGTACTAGAAACCTTCTATTTTTTAAGCATTGCATAGAACACTTGTAACCCTACTGATATTTTTAATAGATTTTTATAGATGGATTTGTGATAACCGTTTTATCAATGCTTATATACTCTGGGTGTTATTTTAGAGCAAAGGGAGAACTTTCTTCGTGTGTTTCCCTCGCACGCTCCATAAAAACTAACCAAAAAACTAACGGGCGCCCGCTGATACGCAGGCTACTCGACAATGTTATGTGTTTTATAGTGCACTGATCAATTGCAGCACTAAAATTTTTTGAAGAAAATCTATCAAGGAATTTTGGTTTAATCGCCGTTTTCCTGAAAGTAGCCTTAGAAATTACAAAAAGAGCTCAGCATTGCGTTTTACTGATTCACATGTTTTCTTTTTTTGTCGAAATCGCGCAAGCCTATTTGCGTTTAGCTGGTTGTAGAGTGTATAAAGGTCATTTGCAGAGTGATAAAAACTTTTCTGAAGCCTCCGAAAGGTATCAAATTTTTCTGCATTAAGTCCAGCCTTCAGTTCATGATTTATACCGCTTTTGAGAAATTCCAAGATATCTCGAAATTCCTCTTATAGATTTTTGTGAAACTTCGCACACGGAAGACAAGCACCCAAACTATAGGTAGCGTAAAGCATTTCCAAAGAAAATGCCGATAAGGGCTGCAATTCGATTTAAAGCTAAAACTATTGTGACGTCATTGTCACGTGATATTTATTCCGATCGCCCAAAAATGATATCATGATAAAGCTGAGTCTATGTGTAATACATGTATTATAATGGGTTTTAGAATAA